TCTGGCTTTTTTCTTTTTGCTTATGTGGTGCTGAGGAATCGAACCCAGGGCCTCATGCATGCAAGGCAAGCGCTCTAACACTGAGCCACCTTCCCAGCCCTGACTAATTTTATGTATTCATTTGTTCTTTTATTGAGGTTATGAGTAAAAGCTAGGTGCCAATGGCATTGGTGTGAGCCACTGCTTTTCAAGAGGTTAAGATCTGAGAATCACTGTTCAAAGGAAAGTCTGTAGTTGGGCACTGGTGGTGCACACCTGTAATCCTAGCTACTCAGGAGCCTGAGAGCTGAGAATTGTGGTTCAATGGTGGCCCAGGCTTAAAAGTCCCCATGAGGCTCTTATCTCCAATTAACCACAAGAAAACTGGAAGAAGAGCTGTGGCTCAAAGTGGTAGAGTGCTAGCCTTGAGCAGAAGAGCTCTGGGTCACTGCTCAGTCTCTGATTTCAAGCCCTATAACTGACAAAGAAAAAAAAGGTAGGTCTGTAAGACTAACAAGAAGCCAGAAGTAAAGCTGTGGCTCATGTGATACAGCATTATTCTTGAACAAATAAGCTCAGTGACAATGCCCAAGTACCAGTGCATGGGGCTTGCACATGCACACATGGGTGCACACACACACACACACACACACACACACACACACACACACACACACAAGTGGTAAGGCTTGCTGGATTTAGTTAGACTTTGCATCACACTATGACTTTATATAGTCTGTTAAAATGCTACTGGAAACTTTCCTTCAGCTCCAGTGTCCTTTTGGCATACAAATCTTTATCACCATGTGTATTTGCTTTGTTCTTGTTAGGACTTTTTTACTTCTGGTACTATGAAATGCTCAGGCCTCTTCTTGTATCTTTCCTGCCTGGAATTGGCTTGTCTCAGGTTTTTATCTGCTTTTGAAGCTCCAGCATCTTCCTTAGATCTCTGAAGTTTTCAGATTTTTTTTATTCATTCTGGAGAATTGCCATTTCCTGGAACACAGTATTGGTTATTGGGGTTGGGGGTGGAAAAAAAATAACAGGACTTTATTTAATTCTGGTTTGAATCACTAGCATGTATCACCTATTGAGAAACTCAAATGGCCACACACACACACACACACACACACTTTTTTTTGTCAGTTTGGGGCCTGAACTCTGGGCCTGGGCACTGTCCCTCAGTTCTTCAGCTCAAGGCTAGTGCTCTACCATTTGAACCACAGTGCCACTTCTGGCTTTTTCTGAATAATGTGGTGCTGAGGAATTGAACCCAGGGCCTCGTGCATGCAAGGCAAGTACTCTACCACTGAGCCCCTAAAATGAAATTTTAAATCAAAAGCATGACCTGGCTCAGTAGACACTATGTGAAAAATGAACTGTGCAGCTTGTGGGCAGGGACAGGATGGGGGAAAGTGGGGGAAAGTGAAAGAAGGGGTGACATTGTCCAAAAAGAAATGTACTTATTACCTGACTTATGAAATGTTAACTCTTCTGTAAAGCACCTCAATAATAATAATGAAAGTATTTGTTAAGCATGAACAGGAAGAAACAGAGTGTCTTGGAGAGTGGGTTCTCAGAAATACAAGCAAAACTTTCAGCTCTTCTGTAACTTTCTGCCTTCTGCCAGGAACCAAATAGTCAATATTGTCAGTTTTGGAGCCCTGATTCTATCTGATGCAGTAGCACAGCTCCACCACTAGAGCCAGCAGGCATCCAGAGACAGCATAACTGTATGACCAAATCAGGCAGACAGCCACATTTGACCTGAAACTTAGTTTACCTACCTGGCTCTAAATAAATGTACACATTGAATAAGCGAACACATCTTGTACCTTGGCAGGAGGCACTGCCAGCACTGGATGATGCTTCAGAGGCTGAGCCGAACTGTTTCTCCATGATGTACAGAGGGTTCTGCATCGTATCTTATCTGGGCTCTAAGTACAGCCTGCTCACCTGTGTCACAGTCTGCTCACCTGTGTCATGTGATATGGCTTGTTCTGTTTTTCTTTCTGCTATTATAAAGGTGATGTACAGAGGAGTTAGTTACACAAGTCAGGTAAAGAGTATACACACACACACACACACACACACATATGTATGCACACATATAAAACCATGATCCTCAGATTTCAGGCTCCTCTGTAGCTAGGGTTACAGTTGTGAGCCACAGGTACCTGGCTTCTTTTTTTTTTTTTTTTGGTCAGTCATGGGGCTTGAACTCAGGGCCTGGGCCTTTTCACTCCAGGTTAGCACTCTACCACTTTGAGCCATATATACATAGGCAATGTCACCCTTCCCTTGCTCTCCTAGTTTTTCCCTCCCATCTCCACCACCAAGTTATATAGTTCATTTCCAACATAGTGTCCAGTGAGTACCACTGCTACATTTGTCTGTAGCATTTTCTCTATTTCTGTGCCTCCCTTTGTACTCCCAAAGATATATAAATGAACAAGCAGAACAAAAAGGAAAGAAAACAAAAGCAGCAAAAAAAACTAATTTCATTTCCTGGAGTTCATTTTGACAAATATTATTTTGTGTGTGAGATCAAATGCTTATAGGCATTGTTCATTCTATTTCCTTCCTTCCTCCTTCCTTCTTTTTCTTTCTCTTCTTTTCTTTCTTACTTTTTGTCAGTCATAGGGCTTGAACTTGGATCCTGGGTACTGTCTCTGAGCTCTTTTGCTGAAGGCTAGTACACTACCACTACCATTTTGAGCCACAGAGCCACTTTTAGTTTTCTGGTGGTTAACTGGAGATAAGAACCTCATGGATTTTCCTGCCCTAGCTGGCTTTGAACCACAATTGTCAGATTTCAGCCTCATAAGTAGCTAGGATTACAGGCATGAGCCACCAGTGTCTGGCTGTTCTGTTTTCTTTCTTTCTTTCTTTCTTTTTTTGGGTCCGGTCGTGGGGCCTGAACTGTGGGCCTGGGCGCTGTCCCTCAGCTCTTCAGCTCAAGGCTATCGCTCTACCACTTGAGCCACAGCGCCACTTCCGGCTTTTTTCTTTTTGCTTATGTGGTGCTGAGGAATCGAACTCAGGGCCTCAGGCATGCAAGGCTAGCTCTACCTTCCCAGGCCCTGTTCTGTTTTCTTAATGTGGCTAATTTACTGTAGATGCAGTTTACTATATCAGGTTAAGACTTACCCCCCACCCCTGTCTTCGATGTGTTACTTACAGCTGGAAAAGAAACTGCTCAGAGGTCTGCTGGGAGAGGACAATATATTCATGAGGGTGCTCAGCAGCAGCAGTCAGGAATGCTGATTGTAAGCCACAAAAACTGACCTTGACCTTGAGGATCAAGAAACAGACTCTGTGAACTGGCAGGGTGGTGCTGACACCAAGAATGGTTTAATCCATGGATGGATTCAAAATTGAAGAGCGTATAGAGATATGGTGGGACTGTGGAAGATGGTTCTTAGTTGGAGGAACCCACAGGAGTGGGTGTGTCCTGGGAGGCCATACCTTGGCTCACCCCCTTCCTGTGAGTGCTCTTCTCTGCTTCCTGTCTGCCATGAGGTGAGCTGCTCTGCCACACCCTACGGCTATGATGGTCTGAAACCTAAGAACCCATAAGCTAAGTCAACCTTCCCTTCTTTTCTTTTCTTTTTGGTGCCAGTACTGGGGCTTGAACTCAAGGCTCAGACACTGTCCCTTAGCTTTTTTGTTTGCTATCTTTTGTACTTTTTTCAAGTGACAGGCTGGTGTTTTATCACTTCAGCCACATGTACTTCCAGCTTTTTGCTGATTAATTGGAGATAAGAGTCTCTTGGACTTTTCTTCTCGGTTTGGTTTCTATCCATGATCCTTAGCTCTCAGCCTCGTATGTAGCTACAATTAATATGTATGAGCTACCAGCATCTGGATCCTGTTTTCTTTCATGTCAGGCATTCCATCATAGCAACTCGAAAGCTGACTAACGCAGTCTCACAAAGGAAGGAAGCACTGAGATGTGCTTCCATGTAGATGAATGTTGAGGTTCATTTCTCCATCCTTCTTGCTCATACCTCAACATCCACCCCATGGCTGGCTGCTTGGCCTGGCGGGTGATCACTGGAGCTATTGTTGATCACTAAGGAACAGCTTTCTCCACTAGGGGCCTGGAGTGTCTGCTCCTGATCTGAACCCTGCATTGCTTGGTCTGTAGTCATTTCCAAGAGCAATCACAAAGCCCCTAAAAGGAGTTCTACCCTCACCCCAAACTAGGGATCCCCTTTGTATATTTGCCCCAGTTTTATTTTGTAAGTCACTGACTAGTTTTACCCTAGTCTCTTTGTTTAGAAAATGGGATTTCGTGGTATGACACCTTTTTATTTGGAAGTACTTGGATTTGAACTCAGGGCTGTAAACTAGCCAGACAAGTGTTTCTACCACTTGAACCATGCCTCCAGCCTTCATGGGATGTGTTTTGAAATGTTGAGATGTTGAGTATCTCTCCCTTCCCTTGTTTTTCTTTGATTTTTCTTTTTTTCAGGTAGTCCAAGTTGGCCTTGAGATTCTCTTGTCTTGACCTCCTGCATGCTCAAATTACATGCACATACCTCTGCATCTGGTTTCTTTCTTTCTTTTATTTCTGATACTGGAGCTTAAACTCAGGGTCTGCAGGATATCCTTTAGCTTTTTTGCTCAAGGCTGGTGTTCTACCACTTGAGCTATAGCTCTACTTTTGGCTTTTTAGTGGTTCATTAGAGATAAGAGTCTCATAGACTTTTTTTCTTGACAAGGCTGGCATTGAACCACATAGATCTTAGCCTCCTGAGTAGCTGGTATTACAGGGGTGAACCAATGGTGCCCAGCTTTCTTTCTCATTCTTATGATTAGTCAAGCAGCCAATTCAGATGTCCTTTGCTAAAGATCTTAAAAATGGAGTTCATACTACCCACAAAAACAAAACCACTGCCAAATCAGCAAGGACTCTGTGTAAGTTGTTGCTAGATCTGGTGTTGCTGAGGTAAAACTAGACATCCCCCTCTAACACAACAAACCCTGAAACACCCACAGATCTTCTGGCCCAGCTTACTCCATGATCCAATGTAGAAAACACCCAGGTCACATCCACAGTCAGTGATGATCTACTTATGATGAGACAATTACCTCAGGAAATTAGGGTTCCTTGAAAAGGATGCAAAAAACTATGTCAGGTATGCAGAATAAAACTTATGAAAGAGCTGAATGCTGGGACTTCATAAAAACCAAAGACGACTTGGGGAAATGATTGTAGACTATCCAAAATGGTGAGCAACCACAATCACCTCTACACAAGTCCTCATGCCTCAGGATCTTACTGCCAACTGTCTTAGACACCTCCAAGTCCCTCAAACAAGCTTCCTTTCAAACATCCTCTCACCAGTGCCACCCCCCTTTACCCGCTGGAAACACGTGGTCACACAGCCACCCTTTCATGAGTCCTTACTGTCTGTGTGTGTGCACATAGCTCATCACACCACACACAAGCTTTCCAGCCTCATCCTCTAAATGCTCCTGGCCACTGCTTCCCCCTCTGCCCGCTTCATCCAACCTCTCCACGTCAGCCTCGTCTAGCAAATATTTACAGAGCGACACAGCATGCCAGGCACAGTGGAGACCCCTGGGAGAAGCAGGACTGAATAAGACACTGTCTGTATACTCAAGGAGCAGAGTCTTTGGGGTGAGGGGTGAGGCTGAGGAGGTTACCTCACAACATTCTGTGTGCATGTTCACAATAGCTAGGATATGGAAACAACCCAGATGCCCCACCACAGATGAATGGATCCAAAAATTGTGGTATCTATACACAATGGAATATTATGCAACCATTAGAAATGACAAAATAATGGCATTTGCAGGGAAATGGATGGAGCTAGAAGGAATCATGTTGAGCGAGGTAAGACAAGAGCAAAGAGACAAATGGTACATGGTCTCCGTGATAAGTGGATGCTAAATCCAAAATGTTATATGATATGACAAAATTAACAGGACTCAAGAAACAAAGAACTCCCACTCATCTGGTCGAACTACTACTAAATATCCCCATGCTGCTGATCACATGTATGGTGTATATGTGTACACCGTTATATGTTATAGACTGTGATAGACAATTTGCTCCAGGAAAGTTAGAACGAACTTGTGACTTTAAATGAGCATCATTATTCTACAATACTGTGAAATTTGGGAAATTATGCAATCACTTAATCACAATTAAAAAAAAAAGAACCTCAGGGAAGGTAGGGAGGGAAGGGATGGTAGGGGGAAAACAATGGAGGCGGTAACAATGCTCAATAGGAAGTGTACTCATTACCTCACTCATGTAACTGTAACCCTCTGCACAGTATCTTTACAATAAAAAATTAAAAAAAATTCTGTGTGCACAGAACAAGACTGGCCCCAGAGGTGGAAGAAAATGCTAGGGAATGTGAGAGTAGAAAGAAAGAATGAGAAGGGGGCATTAAGAAGATGTCTTCCACATCAGAAGGTGAGGAAAGCCAGGCCCAGAAGACAAGACTGGGCTTTGGAATAATCCTAGGAAACGAGCACGATTTTGCCAAATAGGTGGCAGAGGAGGATGTTGTTGGCCAGAGATAGACTGTGGAGAAAGAGAATTTGTAGCATGGCAAGAGTGCAATATACTCAGGTGCAGAGGAAAGCCAGTGATGATGCTGGAGAGATAGAGAAAAATAAAGGTCCTAGGCCAACCACAGAATTTGGGGGGAAAAGTCAATTCTGAAAGCTTAACTAATCAAGAAAAAATGTCTTGTCTTCAATAGCTGGAACTCAGAAACAAGGCACAAGGATGCTCAATGGTCATCAATGATCCAGGCTATGTATTCATTTTCTTTTTGCCTGTTCCCTATTCCATCCTTATTATATTGATCATTCTTTTGGGGATCACAAAATGACTTCAGCAGCTCCAGACCTGGCATCCTCACCCAGCATCCTCCAGAGACAGAATTACATCTCTTCTTTGTGTTACCTTTGCAAGACTAAGAATTCTCCTTTAAAACTTAAAATTCTTTCTCAGAATCTCCTCCGCTCAAGCAACCTTCCTCCCCCTCACCTTATTAAGTCACTGATTAGCAAAGGTTTTTATTTCACCGGCTTAAGTAATTAAGACTCATTCCAGGGACTGGAAATGGGTTCAGAAGCAGGTGGCTGACAGAACTAGACAAAGTCTCAGTTCTATTGGCAAAAATGGAGTGGAAGCACCCTTACCATATAGAGAAAACTGGTGGGTTTGAAGTCGTCTTGGGATATGGTCAAATTTTACTGAGAATGTGGCTTAGTGGTAGAGTGTTTGCCTAGCATGCATGAAGCTCTGGGTTCAATTCTTCAGTACCACATAAACAGAAAAAGCCAGAAGTGGTTGTGGCATAAGTGGTAGAGTGTTAGCCTTGAGCAAAAGAAGCTCAGGGACAGTGAGTAGGCCCTGAGTTCAAGCCCCAGGACTGACAAAAATAAAAATAAGTAAGTAAATAAATGAATAAATAAATATAAGCCAGCTGCAAGCCAGTGGTTCTTACCTATAATCTTAGCTACTCAGGAAGCTGGTATTTGAGGACTGTGGTTCAAAGTCAGCCTAGGCAAGAAAGCCCAGGAGACTTATCTCCAAAAAAAAAAAAAAAAACCACTACTCCAAACAGCCAGAAATGGCTAGATGCTGGTGAATCATGCCTGTGATCCTAACTTCTCAGGAGGCTGAGATCTGAAGATCAAGGTTCGAAGTCAGCCATGGCAGGAAAGTCTGTGAGACTCTTATCTCCAATAAACTTCCAAGAAGTTGGAAGTGAAGTTGTGGCTCAAATGGTAGAGCACTAGCCTTGACACATCACCCAGGCCCTGTGAGTTCAAACTCTATCACACACACACACACACACACACACACAGAGCATATGTGATGTGGATTCATCACTATCATTCTGGCTACACGGGAAACTTAATGTAAGAAAAATCTTGGTGAGTCTGGTCCTGGGCAAAACATAAGACCCTTTCTCAAAAATAACCAGAGCTGGTAGAGTGGCTCAGGTGGCAAGATTTCAAGGCTGGTATTGTGGCTAAAGTGGTAAAACACTTGCCCAGGATTCACTGTCCAATAGTGAAAAATAAAATCTCTAAAGTACTCAGTAAAATAGGCTGACTGTGAGGCTCAGTGCTTGCCTGGCATGGATAAATAGTTTTGGGTCACTGAAACATGAATGCCTGATTTTGAAGACTTTTGTTGTTGTTGTTGCTGGTCCAGGGGCATGAACACAGGGCCTGGGCACTGTCCCTGAGTTTCTTTTATTCAAGGCAAGTGCTCTACCACTGAAGTCACAGAGCTATTTCTGGCTTTTTCTGAGTAGTTTAGTGGAGATAGGAGTCTCATAGACTTTCCTTCCCGGGCTGGCTTTGAACAGCAATCATCAGATCTCAGCCTCCTGAGTAGCTAGGATTACAAGCATGAGCCACTGGTGCCCAGCTTTTTGGATACTTCTTACTACCTTCCAAATGAAGACAGTGGGGTGAAGGAATTAAGATGCTTAAAGAAGAGAAAATAGCTGTGCACTTTTTAACCTGGCTAGCCATTAATACATGTTTATTTCTTTTTTTTCTTCTCCTCCTCC